CCACACCGTAATCAGCTCATTACAATCTGGCCAATTAGAGCCGGCAGCGGCGGTCCAGGCGTACACTGCACCGCGTCCGCTTCGTGCGACAACACCGCGCGTCGTGAGCGTTGCGCGCCTTATCAGCGGCGAGGGGAGCCAAAACATGACGCGGCGTCGCCGAAGCCGACGCAGGCCGACAGGCTAGCTCACCACCACACCGTGGGCGCCGTACCGGCTTTGTTCCAGCACTAAACCATGTGCTGGGCGCAGCGATGCAGCCAAAGTATCCGAGGCTTTCCCTCCAGTCAACCAAAAGTGGAGGCGGTGGCCAGGAAGCCTCTCGTCTCCTGACTGTGCATATTGACTTATTTGATAAGACCACACATACCGCGAATTATCTAAACCTTTCGTGTCAAGAACGTCGACCGACACTTCATAGGGCCGATTAGATAAGCCTCGAACCCGACGGACTTTGTCGGGGTTAGTCCGTGGGCGAATCGCGTCGGTATGTGATCACGCCCACAACTCTGCCTCAACGTCCAACATGTGTCGATACTGTCTGCGTGGAGAGATTGCATCCTATCCATATGGCATGCGAATGAATGAAAAATAATTTGTCCTTATCCAATGATGAATTCATCAGTGGAATGTATTGCATTATGCTCTGAATGTAAACATGTCGCCGATGTTTCTTCCTATGTTTCAGAACGCAACTCTGGTGAGGGCAGCTTGTGTTTACACGCATGAACCTGTGTACGCGAGAGAGCTTCATAACAACCGATTACACCCGCCCCAAGCGCTACCACGACCACTTAGACTACGCCGAGGGATGCACTCCTCCAAGCCACGGCTATCCATTGGCCCTCTGAGCGGACTTTAACAGCGCAGTCAGGAGATTAGCGCGCAAGCGGGCCCACGAGTGCTGAGTCCTTGAGCCTGCCAGAGCGCACGCTCAGCGTAAGGGCCCTGTAACTGGATACCCGCGGGGCGCGAACGTGACACCGTCTGTAAGCACAACGTTTGGCGTGACACGGACTGCCGCCCAAATGCTACAAAAGCTGCAGCCGGTAACCGCGGAGACGCCCCGCCCCGCCCCGAGCGTCCGTCTCGACATCGTCGATCTCCTCGGAGACCGCCTCCTGAGGGCCTGACACCACATCCTCGATCTCTGCCAGGCCTGATAACATAGCACCGCCGCCCGAATCTCCACTGATCACGGAAACGTCAGATCTCGTGTTCCGATGGCTCACAAGGAATAATTAGCGGCCAGCTATATCCGTAACTCTGTCTCCAGCTGGGCCGAGCGGCGTTATCAAGCTCATATTCCTCGAGGCGCATGCAACAAGGCGAAACCAAGGCGTTGCCATGGCTTCCGAGCCGCATGCAACAGCGTCGCCAGAGCTCTGGCTGACAGCCGGCAGTCGTCATACTTCACGCTCTGGTCCTCAGAGCGGGCGAATGTTGGGGAGGGGGCGGCAGACCACGGGGGGAGGCCTGCTCTCACGGCGCTGCGGTTACCATTACCCCGCCAAGGCTGATTCCGGCCCGGTGAAGGTGCCTCCTCCGCCGCAGCCCGCGCAACCTCTGGCGGTCGCGGCGGTCATGCGGCGCGGGGTAGCGCGGGAACGGGTCATTAGTGGGTAATTATTCATCCGTCCACACACAAAAACATGACCGTACGCCTTTCCCCACATTCAGGAAAAGCAAATACCCGTTTCTTAGCCACCAGGTAGGTCGGTGATGCCGCGGGAACAATGCTAATGCGATGACTATCATGAGTCCTAAATCTCTGGCAAAAAGATACCGCGCTAAAAACGCCATATTACCGTCATGGTTAAGTGCCTCTCCACGTCACTGCTTTAAGTCATATTCTCACAACTGACCAACCACACTCTAATGGAAATTCGAGCAAGCGTCCATGGGAAAGCAGTGACCACAGATTGCGTCACTGCCCCCGTGCACAAATGCGTTTGCTTTCAGAAGACACGTTACCATCGCGCTGTGACTCTTGTTTATTTTTTCATCCTCTCAAGTAACCCAACAAGACCGTCAGCTTGCGTGAGCCACGGGACCAAAAACGACTAGCACTAGGATGCAGCCCATGTAGATCTAAGCGCCGGGCCATGTCAGCATTGCTGGTCAGTTTGTATCGACGTCAACAACAGCGGGGGCAGTCCTACTCCTGCTCGGCACGTCCTGACGCAACATCAACGAACGCGTTACATCAGCGGACTTAACACATTGACTGATTGATGTTTTGATCGCGCCAGGGGCGGATGACGAGATCGCAAGTGCGGCGCCACCACTCCGGCGCTTCCTAGCGTGTCCCCAGCCCGGGGGTGACGCGGAGACGCGGCGCCACCGCCGCAGACGGCGTCCGGCGTCCCGGGGCCGGCCGGCTGACCTGGCGTGTCCCCAGCCCGGGGGAGGGGGGGGGGGACGCGGAGACGCGGCGCCACCGCCGCAGATGCCGTCCGGCGTCCCGGGGCCGGCCGGCTGACCTGGCGTGTCCCCCAGCCCGGGGGTGACGTGGAGACGCGCGCCACCGCCGCAGACCCCGTCCGGCGTCCCGGGGCCGGCCGGCTGACGCCGCCATCGCGCCCGCCGGCGCCCAGATTGATGGACGTGCCGACGTCGGCCAGCGCGCCGTAGCGCACTTCCGAGCGCGGTGCCGGTGGAAGGGGTCGACGAAAGTCGAAAACGGTGTCGGCCGTTGACAAGCACCCATCTGTCCCGGCGTCGCGACGCGGCTCTTACTCTCGACGAGACGGCAGATGATTGCGGAACATCGGCCAGGTGCGCCGGGTGTGACGAGCCTCACAGATCCAGAGCGGACCAGCGGACCACCGGACCAGCGGAACATCGGCCAGGTGCGCCGGGGTGTGACGAGCCTCACGGATCCAGAGCGGACCAGCGGACCGGCGGACCGGCGGACCGGCAGGCCACCGGACCAGCGGAACAGCGAACCCGTGGAACAGCTGACCCGTGGTCCAGCGAAACAGTTGGCCAGCGGACCAGCGGGACAGCGGACCGGCGAACCGGCGAACCAGCGGAACAGCTGACCAGCTGACCAGCCGACAGGCAGACCACGGACCAGCGAATCAGCTGACCGGCGAACCAGCGGAAAAGCTGACTGATGGACCAGCGGAACAGGTCACCGGCGAACCAGTGGACCAGCTGACCGGCGAGCCAGCGGAACAGCTGACCGGCGCAGCGGTGGACCGGCGGACCAACTACCAGATGATCGGCGGCACCGGCACCGGCCAGACAGACTGACCTGGTACCGTGAGGAATATGTCGGTCATAGGTCGGGGTTGGAGCAGTCTAACTCTCTGATTAAAACATGGACCGGCCCAAGCGGCCATCGTCGCCCCGAGCGATCAATGACTGGGGAGAGAAATTGCAGCTCAGCCTTGCCCGAATAAACAGTACTGCTAATAGACGCTCCAATGGGCGCACTGTCTATGACATGAAGTGTCGCTTGCAACTGTTACCCCCAAGTATTACTGCATATTTTTTTACATTATGATAATGAGCCGAGCCTGGCTGGCTTGGACGGCGCCTGTGTCAACGGTTCAGGGCCCGTGCGTCAGAGCCGGCCCCAGCCCACCGACAACGCGTCAGCTCACGCCGAAATATGACGCCCTGCAGATGTGCGCAGCGCCGCGAAGACCGGGGAGGGCGGGACCCCCCCCCCCCCCCGCGCCCGGTGGCCCGGCCGGCCCGCGAGCGCCTCAAGCACGGCCCTCCTGCGCCGGGGAGCAAATAGGGCGTGAACGGGCGGCGCGGGCGCCGGCCGGCCGCTGCCGCCCGTCTGGCGGCGGCCTCGCTGACAGCCGTCGACACAACGGGGTCGTCGCCGGCGGACGGACTGGACGGCCCTCCGTGCTGAGCGTCGCGGGCGGTGCGGACAGCCGACGACGCCGCAGCCGTGGGGGGCCCGAATGTAGCCCAGCTACTCGCTTGCGGGCCCGCTTCTTCGGGAGATGGACGACGTCGCGATGATGAGATTGTGGTCACGCCCGCCGGCCACCTCTACACGGCGGAGTCGGGATCCCATTGAGACGGGCGATGGGCTCGGCGGGGAGCAGCCATGAGGCGAGCACAATCACGATATGCCATTTCGGAGGCGCAGCCAACAGGCTAGCTGACAGCCATTGCGCCTCATCTGGGCCGTAATCCGTCGCCGAAGTAGGCCCACTGCTCACAGGTGCCCTTAATTTGCCGTCTCTTTGCCGGACCGACTGGCGTAAACGAGACACTTTACGTAACAGAGACCGGGCCGTTTGTGCATTGACCCATCACTGTTCATTGTTCAGCTAGCGCTTGCTGTTTACTTCCTTTAAGCTGTCCACCCCTCGCTTGTTTATTTTACGCGGCCGGAGGGAGATGACGTCGGGACGGTGGCGGTGATGCTGGCAGCGCGCATCTCAGTTCCCGACTGACATTTCCAGGCCCGGAATGGTAGAGAGAGATACTTGAGATTGCCTCCGCAGCACAAATTCTTCCAATAGACCGGCTAGTAAACAGGGCAGCAAAAGTACGACAGTAAACAGGTTACCAGCCTTCACACAGCACACAAGACTGCAGCTGTTTGCGCGCCCGCTGACTCAGAGTTAACATTTGGGAACAACCCGCGTCAGGGGCACACCCTAGGTTGGCCAAATTACATTGAATATGAAGGGCAGCCGAGTGCCCGTGTCCGCAATCTTCGCTACGTCTCGGAACGGCGGCGGGCGGCCTCCGAGCGGATCGATTCGTTAGGCTTCCCGCACGTCCCGTCATTCCCCTGAAACGCGAAGACAAGCACCCATTCACTCCCCCTCCCCTCCAAGATGGACATTCCTATTTATAGCCGTCCCCTTCCCCACTGGGAAATCCGCCGCGTCCCCTCGTTCAGAATTTAAGACGGAAGGCGAGAAAATGGTCCAGGGTCGTAGCCGGGTGTGTATGGAAACGCAGACGGACATGCGGACCAGCGCAGTCACGGTGAACAGCATGGCTGCCAAAGCGCCTACCTGGCCGGATGCGGAGCTGCTGAGTCGCTGGATCTGCACGCGCCCCACGCTGGATACACCGGCTACGACTCCGACCGCCAGCGACCCACTGCGAGCACTCCGCAATCAATAACGCGTCTGCCCGCGCGCGACTCCGGCGGCCATAGCGGTTCGCAAATACGCCGCCAGGGGCGTCTACTGCCAGCCCACCAGACGGCGGCGCTGCAGCGCCGTGTTCATGTGTGATGTGGCGCGTGGGGGGGCCGGCGCGATCGGCGCTGCAGACTAAAATTCGTACAGGCTCAGTTCGCATTCGTAATTCAATTCTAATGCAAAAGATTCCATGGCCTAGGAGACTGAAGCCACCGTGATGCCTTGATTTCATTAATAGAGTTAACTCCGTTTGGAAGTTGGGAGTTACAATGCTCAAGTGGATCTCTGTTGCAGAGCTTATTTCATTGGTAACGCTCCGTAATTTTCATTCTTAGCCTTTGGTTTTGGCAACCTTGGCAAAGCCAGCCGCTGCGGATGAAAAGACCGTACGCAGGAGATACGTAATTAGTTTGGAGAGAATGGCGCATATTTTAGAAACACGGTTAAGTCACGGCCGGGCATCCCGCCTCTGAAGAATCGTTCTTCATGCGCTACTCGAGTCAGTGAATGTGACCAACTTTGGGAGACCTCTAGTTTCTCCAATGGTGTCTTCCCCTTTCTTTAGTCCGTATCAAAGGGTTGTAAGCCGACCCAATAACAAATATACAACCATAATATCCAGCAGAACGTCTTCAGCAAAGTGGCACTTGCAAGGGGATAGCATACTTATAACTGATTTATTGCGATTCACGGGATAAATTCTGAATAAACTACCGTTGGCCGCCGGCTCACACGCATCGCGTGCGATTAATGTCGTTTACTTGGAATGCCCGGTGGCGACGACTAACATGCGAAGCATTTTGATGTTGCGAAAATGTGTATTGTTACACCTTAAGTAAAGTTTGTGTTTAAATGAATCAGTACACGAGACGATTGATAAATGGGTGGTAAATGCAGTCAATGAATCGGCGCAAGTAGCAACACAAACTTTGCCGCATCACTGACGACAGTTTCGACGACAGGGAGCTGCATTCGGCACATTTTCCAAATTTCGACATTTCCGGCTTGTTCGACGATTAGTGGCGCAACCGTACGTCGCACAGTTCGGCGTTAGCCACATGAATGATGACGGTACGTCAGTCGACGGCTTAGAGTTGGGTTCACGCCTTCATTGCGTGGGCGGGCTCGCTCACGCGGGGCGGATTTTCTGCCACAATTTCACACAATGTCAGCAGCACTTTGAATATTTCCTAGCTGCCCGTGCAACTGCACTCGTAGCGCGACACAACCCCTCGTTCCATTTCTGTTCAGTGCGTACCAATTTCATGTCGCTCCCACGCCTTGTTGCCAAGATGTGGCCACGGTTTCAAACGATCGCTTGCCGATTTTGTGTGAGCCAAAATTTTCGAGCCGCCCATGCAAAACCTGTGGGCTTAAAAATGACCTTCCCGGCACACACCACGCCCGAACTATGGACCATGCCAGCTCGCAAGCTACATGTGAAAAGCAGCCGCGTGTGCCCGCGCGTCGAGTACAATTTTCATCCCTGAAGCGCGCACCGCTTAGCCTGCGGACGTGTCGACGTAAAACGACGACAAACAGACTGAAAGACCGCGATACCTTGTGCAACAGTATGCATAGACAAGTGTGACCTGTCAGACTTTGGTCGCATTTCTTCTGGAGACGATTAATTAGGCAAGGAGAGTGGGTGCAGGATGCAGCTGCGTAAAATAAAATGGAGGTGGGCCTGAGTACAAAGAGTCCCCCACCCCACCCTAAGAAAAGTCAAAAATATTTTTTTCCACCAGCTTGGTTCCTATTTGTTTCCGAAGAGAGAGCTGTAGGCTCCCTTCCCCACTACAATATGAAGTAACATCTCTGCTTGGATGCATACGCGACTTGTGCGCCGGGTATTTTCGACACCCAATGCCATATCGCTGACGTTCGACTCTGAGTTGACCTGACACAGCTGACCACCCTGAGCGCTCTCACTCACAAGTTGACACCAGGTAGCATGTGATGAGTGTGTGATGAGTACACCAGGTAGCATGTGAGGAGGGTGTTAGGCGATGGGGAACGACTTTCGCTCTCGGTCCGCCCCGCTTGACTGGGAGATGTGGCGCAAATCAAACACTCGCCGCCGCAGGTCAGCCAATAGTCGATTTTTCACCATTGCCTTGAACGATGTTTATTAGCCATCTTGTATGTGTTCTGTTTTGGTGTTACGGTTCTGAGAGCACCGCCATGTGATGCACGCATGGGGACTAATGAGGCTCCATTCTTCATAGTTTCAGACGCTGTCGAAGGGCAGCCCGAGCAAAATGGAAACCAAATAGGACAGGTTGTGTCGTGCTGACAGCTGGCAGCTGTCAGACCCTCCTTTTTAGCTGCCTGCGTCCGCCACTGCTAACCCCTGGTCACGTGATGTCCCGAGGGAACCAAGGTCAGCGCTGAGGAGCGAAGCCGGTTGGCGAGTACAAGTTTGGTCATGCGGCATCTGGCCCGCTCACGGACAGCCGCGACGTGGTGGCAGTGGCGGGATTGTCATTTCATCGGGGATTCCGAGCAATGGCAGCGGTCTCAAGATGCCGGGGGACGTCCAAGACCACACACCAACGTTGAAGGTGTCCTTAGCAGACTTCCCGATTTTCGGCGGTTCAGCGTCACCAAACGCGTTCATCCAGCAATGCCGGGGCCTGGCGGAACTGGAAAGCATCCCCGCCGGCAAGCTCGCCAGCATCACGGCGACGGGATGCCGCGGGCTCGCGATGCAGGCTGTGAACAGCGCTGGCGAGCCGGACAAAGGGACATTGCTACTCACTGAAGCCTTCGCATATGCGAGGCCCGAGACGGCAGCCGCACTGCTGAGTGCCGTGCAAAAGGGGACAATGTCCGATTTGGGCTGTTCTTTTATCATCAACATACGATATCATCAAATGATGCCTGCCCGGAATTTTTGACGCGGTGAAAGGTGTAGCGAAGGCGCGCGTGCCAGCCTACCAAGCAGCGCTTCATCTTATTTTATCGTCGGTCTCTCACCGGACGAGAAATGCGAGCTCTCACGCCAAGGTGTGGCATCGCACGAGTCTGTGAGCTGACATGCGGAAGAGCGCCTCGTCCAGTCCTGCGGAGCTAAACCTTCTCACAGCCAACGTCCTTGGAAGACTTGGTTCCAAGAAGTGAACCATTGGAAGACTGGGTGGAATTGGGCGCGGTGGCCTCTGTCTCCTCGCGATCGCTTCCGGCACCTGCGTCCCACTTTCGCAGGGTGCAAGACCTGAGGGAAGCAGACGACTCCTATCACGATGGACGTGGGATGTACTCTACGAATCGTTCGGTGGGGGAAGCAGCCGCTAATCGCGCTAGCCGGACGCCGAGGCGACCGGGCGCTGGCCGGGAACGCCGGCGGCGTGGCGGATCGCCAGCTCCATCGCCGAACCGTACTTCGGACCGCACCCGCCGACCCAGGCCGCTCGCCGCTGGCCAGCGGAAGGCCACCACGCCAGCCGCCCCGAGCCGCGCAACACTGGGCAATGGGCGAGCTCGGTGCCCGGCTGGCGCGGCGGCGCTCCCGGCGGTGGGCGGTCACGGCGCCCTGACGCCGCGAAGGAGGCAGCTGATGACACGCCATCAGAAGAGGAGCCGCCACTGCGGTGCAGACTCGGGCGGCGGACCGTCCCATGCTGGTCCTGCCGCGGCCTCGGTCATCTCAAGAGGCTTCGGCGAGACGGGATGGCGGCGGGCTGACGGCCGGGCGGTGAGCCTCCGGACAGCTGGCGTAGCCATTGACGGGCTCATGGTGAGTGACGCATTAATTGACTCTGGAAAGCGAGCATCTTTGATAGACAGCCGTGTTTTCGGCGTCATCTCCCTAGGCTCACGTTTGGCTCCGCCCGCCCGTCTGGTTCCCGTCTCTGGGCACGTTCTGAACGCTCTGGGTACTTGTCAGCTTCGCGTGGAGATGGTGGGGCTGATGCCCCACATCTCCACAACCTCTACCGCCTGTCCATCTGGAGTGGAACGACCGAGCGTCGTCTGGACAGGGTGCAGAGGATGATGCACCCCGCAGCCAGGCTAGTGAGTGGTGTCCGCCGAAGCGATCACATTTCACCCGTTCTGGAAGCGCTCTGCTAGCACAGCATCGCGGGTCGTGTGCACCACCGGGACCGCCTAAATGTGAGCAGGGCACTGCACGGCCCCGAATCCCCTAGTGCACTGCGTGCTTTTTTCGAGACGCACGCCGAGTCTTCCCAACGTTCAACTCGAGCTGTTTCGGGCGGTGTCGGCTCACTACATCTGCTGCATGGCCGACTGACCTCCAACCAGCGACATTTTCCGTACTGCGCCCCCGCGTGGAACCGGCTGCCTGTGGTGGGTGTCCGCACCCCCTCGCGCCAGGCATTCTTGGTTCTTTTAAATCGCTGACTCATTTATTGATACTTCTTTCAACTGTGCTTATTTGTGTATCTCTGTGCACCCTGTGTGGGTTTTTCATCTTGAACGACTAGGCGTAGAACAACCACCACGTGGATGCGCCTTCAATGAAATGAATGTAAATGTAACTGCAGGGGTCTGCAAAGCTGAGTTTGCTGTGGTTGATTATTTGATCCACGGTGCTGTCTGGGGCAAGGATTTTTTATCGTCAAAGTGTTGCTTAACTGCTCGCTAGACCATAAAGGCAGACCAGAACTGAAAATAAAGAAGCTTGTGTCGGCGTCGCTACAAACTGCTGTTTGCCTAGCTGTGAAGGTTGACCATCCGCTATCATGTGATTAGTAAAGTACTTGTTGATCGAATGACGCTCAACCAATATGGACATACGTGACTTCCTGACGTCATTCTCCGAAGCTGAGATTCCTTTGTGTCTGCGTCTATCTGTGTCTGTGTAGGATGATGGTGCGCTTCCCCTAACCGCACCACCACCCCGCACAGATGCAGCGTTATCGGATATGATAAGCCGATCATGGATGTTCAATCCTGCAAACTTCAGCTTGCATGGGGCGGCGCTAGCGACACGGCAGCGCAGGTGA